TGATTCAGTCACTTGATTCAATAGAAATGCCCTCAGGCGTTTGCTGAGTGGCGCAGTGGACAAGGTGTCGGCCTACGCCAGCATAGGTTGTGGGTTGGAATCCTGATCCCGCTGACTTTTCCTTTTTTCCCAGGGTGATATGGATTTCTACTCAGGAGGAGAAGGTTTAACTTCTTCATTTTTTCAATTCGATCATTCAGTTTCACTTATCGATGGCTTCAATTATGCTTACAGTCAGAACAAAATTTAATGCAAATAATATGGAAACCTTTGGTTTGGTAAATGTACTTGTCTGTTGTGGCTTGTTTGAGGGACTTTCGAAGGTGCTGAATGAAAAATTGCTTGACTGATAGTTAAGTGATGTGGGATTATCCATTGGTCGATTTGTGTTGACCATATTGGATTGATCCACTTGAATAATTAGTTCATCTGGAGTGGTTTTCGTCGTTGGCTCAGTTGACGTTGGTGTCACTGATGAACCTTTCGAGAAGAACTGAATCTTTTCACTACTGCTTTTATGAATAAAAAACGAGATGATCAAAGACAAATGCTTAGCGCAATTACAGAAAGGTGAATCGAGAACGAATCTTATATTGTTCCCGATGACAACACGATAGTAATTGAAAAAAAAAACCTCAAATAATTTATGAGAATTAGAACACTGCTTTGGTAGATCCCTCCTGAGATTAATTTAAAAACTAACATTCTCAACTTTTGGTAGCCCCACTCGAGATTTCAGTATGGAAGTCGAAAAGTCGACAGTACCACTCCTCAACTGACTGACCGATACGAAAGCATTGATCAAATATAAGCAAGTGATCACGAGCGATGCAATTCCAGCAAATAGAAGATACACATTCTGAGGTAATAACTGAAAGGTACAGTGAAAATTGTCGCATTTTGAAGCAGTTAAGAATTTCAGACAGAAATTCGTTGTAAATTTATTATTATTTCCTAAACAAGAATTGAAATTATTCCATCCTCAGTTATGGAACGTATCACATTCTTTCAAATGAAGACATTCTCAGTGTTTGCCGAAGCAATGTTTAATTTGTTCAAATGTTAATTTCGACCAGTTATGATTGCGGTCGTCTTTTATGACCGATAATTGCTACCATCTTAGATGCAAACGACGAAATCGACGTTTGAAAATGAGAATCCAATGCACGTATACATAATAATTAGAAACATAAGCTCACTGAAACAAAATAGTGAAAAAACTGATGAACAATTGAAAGAAATGCAAACTAGAGGTTGACTGACCTTAAAGAACGCATAAAATAAAATGAGTGCNATGCGATGTGGTAACTTATGTTTGGTTTGATCAGGTGATTTCAGCATCAAATAAATCCCTGAAAAGCATTCAAATACGTGATTATAACAATATATCGTGGTCTACCCTTGATTCATTTTATCTAATGGTACCTCAGTACGACAAATGAATGAAAATGGACACAACTTTATAACGTCTCATGTTGGTGTGAATTATTAAAGGAGTTCGTTTCCCTCATGGTTAGTTGCGATTCCGTAATAGGTGTTTGAATTGATCAAAGCATTGTAAATTGATCGACTCACCAAAAGGTGGCACAATTAAACAAGCCAGTGTCAACATCCAATGTGGTCCAGTTCGAAACAGACAATAGACAACAAATCCGGAAATTAAAAACTGTAGAACTTTTAACGAAAACCTAATCACTCTTTCACCGCACATCCTCCTGAAAATCACATCTGGAATGTTGCGTATTAAACCAAACAGTGACAAGAAAAGGCATTAGCGTCCAACAATATTCATTCAATTCCCTAGATGAAATGAATTTGAAATCTATTGAAGTGGTCAGGTCAAGACATGACCT